TTTTCTATTAAAAGATCATGAGCTTTTTGAAAGAGTTGCTCCAATCACATATAATGTAACGTCTTATTTTGATAAAAATCCTTCCATTATTAAGAAAATATTAGCAGGTGCGGCTACAAGCATAGAGTTGTGTGGGACATTGCCCCTTACTATTCCTGATGATGTTGTGGATATCCGTACTACTCAAACAAGACATGGAGTGCACCGACGACTCTTGTTTAGATGGAATGGATATCCCACTGACTGATAGTCGAACATGAGTTGCAACTTTGACATCCTGATATCTACCAATGGATGATAGAAGTATTCTCACAAGGGGATGAGATTTTTCCACTAGGGAGAATTGATGTGATCATGTTTTGTCATTTTATGTTTTTGGATGTTATATAAGTTCATTTTATATGCCCTATGATGGAAAACAATCCATAATCATTCTTGGATTTGGTGCTCTTCGAAAGTTTTACTGCTTTTAATTTTCACTTGTGTTGATCTAGCTTCTTTGGTGGTTAGTTGAGAATTTATTTTGACTAGTTTTGTTTATTGGGCATGGCCCAACTCTTTTCCTATGCTGCCTATTTTTTCTCATGTTGTTGTCCCATTTTCCCTACTGTTGGCTTTCCCGATGTTGGTTCTTTTTCCTCATGCTACTGTCCCATTTTCCCTGTTGCTGACTTTCTCGATGCTAACTATTATTCCACATGTTGTTGTCCTATTTTTCCCTGCTACTGGCTTTTAGGTTTCCACCTTATTGTTTTTCTATACCAAGTGCATTAACTCCTCATTAAATGGGTTAACTTGAGATGCTTTTATTGGCTGTTTGGGCAGCATAATTTAGTGATCAATTTATGACCATGTCATCCCTTATCCAATATATTTGATTTATTTTATTACTGGAAGAGGTTGGTTGTTATTGTTGCTAGTGTAATCGCACTAAAACATGCGGGTTATTTAGCTTGCGAGCTATTTTCTTCTACCTTATTTTTTCTATTTCGTCTCGGTCTTTAATCAAATCTTCTCTTCATGGTTTCCCTTCCACCTGTATCTTTCTTCTTCAAATATTGTGAGTGCAAGGTGTTGTTGTGCGCAGTTTGTTATTATTTGTCGAAGCAGCGCCGACCTTAGGGGTGTCAATTTTTTACACGACCCGAAATCCGACCCGGACCCGACCTGGAAAAATCCGAGTTCGGGTCGACCAGTTTGTGAAATAAGTCGGGTCGGGTTTAACAAGCTGACCCGTTTCAAAAATTGGGTCGGGTTCAGGTTGACCAGCAACCCAAAAATGACCCGAAACCCACTATCTGCGCCTGTTGCCCGCCCTGCCTGCTACGTCGAGTGCCTGGCTGCCCGCCCGCATTGCCGGAAGCGTCGAGTCGTAGTTGCTTCGCACTGCCCGAAGCGTCGAATCGCAGTCGTAGTCGTGTGACTTGTGTGACGCGTTGCTCGGTCGCTGCTTCACTTCTCGTGCGTAGCTGCTTCGCTTCACGTGCTGTCGCTGCTTGGCCTCGCGTCGCTGCTTCGCCGCTCTGCAGCGTCTAAGATTAATTTCAAAAAATTCGGGTCAGGTCATGTCAACCCGGCAACCCGCACGGGTCGAGTATGGGATAAGAAAGCCAACCCGTTTGTAAAAACGGGTCAGGTTCAGGTTGACCCGTTTAGAGCCAGGTCAACTCGAGTTTAACCCAAACCCAACCCGTAAACCCGAATTGACACCACTAGTCGACCTGAGCTGGATCATAATTTATGTGGAGAACCACTTGTTTGATTTTTTTCTTTGAGCACCATTCTTTATTTTAATGATTTACATGTGAGGTGGCCTTGCAAGGTTGTTCTGAAGGTATTTAATTCAATTGTTTGGTTATTTTGTGTGCCTTCTTATCAATTTTCAAAGTTTCGTTTCCTACTTAGTTTCCAATATTGTGTATGTTTATATTATATTGAAAGGGAGTATTATCAATTGTTTTTTTAGTGTTCTCCTATTTGTGTTGCTACCTGCATCTTTCTTCTCAAAACCTTAAAAAGTTGTAAGGTTTCATTGCGTCATATTTTATTTTATGTTCTAAGATATTGTTGTGTCTTGCTTTATTAAAAGTTGAAGTGTTGTTGTGACATATTTTACTATAAGTTGTAAGGACTTGTTGTGTCCAGTTTAATATGAGTTTGAAGTGGTTGTGTTATAAGATTTTCTTGGTTTATCTTTTATGGAAAGGAAATCTTTCATTTGCAATTTTAGTTATTTTTAAATTGCATCAAATTTATTGAATGAAATTATTATAAAGCTTTTGACTAATAGGTTTGTTATTATTTTACTATAGTTGATTTCTCTAAACCAAAGTATTTTTTGTATGTATGTATATATATATATATATATATGTGTGTGTGTGTGTGTGCGCGCGCGCGCGCATGCATGTGTGTGTGCGAGATGTAAAATAAAAATAAAATTGTTAAATAAAGTAAATTTTAAGACACTGAGAACATACAGTTGTGCATATATTTTTAGACAACATGCAATTAAGTTTTAATGAAAATTTATACTTGAAATACTGAAGAATTTCTCATTTATAAGAATAACTATCAACCAAAGAAATCTTTAAAAACAATTTAAGACTTTTTTTTTATTTTATTAACATAAGTCAATCAAAATTTTTTATGCTTGATGTCTAAGAATATAATTCTAAAATCATATTATTTAATCAATACCTAAAATCATACTTAGTTCTTCTAAAAATCCATAGATCTAATTTTTGTAAAAAAATATTTTCACAAGTTAAAAATATGTTATGAAAACAAAAGATATTGTAAAATAGTTTATGAGTAAAAGGTTCAAGTTGCTTAATTAATTTCTCGATATTACTACAATTTTCAACATAAAAGACCACAAGAAAAAAGTTCAACTTGATGATGCCCTTTGGAAAATTTGAAAAATGCTGGACAAACAATAATTATTAATCATTTATAAAAATCATTAGTTAGAAATACAAATTTTTATAATCCAAATATATTAAATTCAAAACTCAATATTTCAAGCATAAACTATCATTGAAGCTTTATTAAATGTTGTTTAAAAATATATCACCACTATATTTTCTCACTTTGTCTTAAAATCTAATTTATTCAATAATTACTTTATATATATATATATATGGAAAAATCAACTATAATAAAATAATAACAAACTTATTAGTCAAAAGGTTTATAATAATTTCATTCAACAAATTGCAAGACTACAATATTTAAAAATATGAATAATATTTGGAGAGTCAAAAACAAAATTAACTCCATCATACATTAGTGTGTGTATTTATGTACATGTATGTGCATTTGTATAATTTGCTTGTAATTCATACAATCAAATCAGCACATATAATTTACACAAGCTCGCACATGTAGTCATAAAAATTAGAGTTAATTTTGTATTTCTCTGTTTAATTATGACTATGAACCTATACAAGTGCATTAAAAGAAATGTGTCAAGCCTATACAATGAAATAAGATCTCTATAATATTAATGGAACTAAATGTGATTTAGGTAATAAAATTTATATAATTTTAGAATGATTTTCTTAGTCATGAAGCATTACAAATTTTGATTGACCTGTATTAGTGAAGCTAAAATAATAAGTCAAGTAATTTTTTAAGGTATCTTTAATTGATAATTGTTCTTGTAGATGAAAAATAATAGTGTAATTTACATACTAAAAAAACACGTATAGCTCACACAGACATGCAAACATATGCACACAAGCAAACACATTCAAGCAAGATGGAATAGATTTCCTATTTTACTCTCCTACGAGTATTCTTATTCCTAAATATGTTAGAGTAAGCAAAGTGTTGAATGGAATTATTACAATATTTCAATATTTCATTTGTGGTTTTTTACTCTAAAGAGATTACAGTATTACTTTAATTATTTCATTTGTGATTTCATTAAATATTAAGAGTATAATTATTTAGCTTATTCGTTAACTAAGGGTGTCAATTATTGACACGACCCTATACCCCAACCCGAAAAATTGAAGCTCGGGTCAACCTATTTAACAAACAGGTCGGGTTTAGTTCCAACTTTAGACCCAATTAAAAAATCGGGGCCGATCTGGGTCAAATTGCTAACCTGAATTTGACCCGAGTCCCCCCTAGGCACAATCCCGCTCAGCACGCAGTCGCCAATTGCGGGCATCAAAGAGCTAGAGATCAAAGCGCAACACTCTCGCGGTCGCCGTCGCCCGCATTCACGCACACTTGCACAAATCCCTAGCGGTCTAGCTTGAACGACCGAACCCAAAGTCCTACATTCGCATCGCGTACTCCCGCACTTGCACTAGCTTAGGCATAATCCCGCATGCTGCCCTCGCGCATTCACGTACTCTCGCATCCGAAGTCTCGATCATGTGTTGCGCTACGCTCTCTCATGCTCTCGTGGTTTTCATGTCTGGTTGGGTAAACCCGGTAACCCGACAGATCAGGTCTAGGAAATAGTTTTTGAACCGTTTATAAAACTGAGCAAGTTCGGGTCAACTGAATTGAACTAGGGTCAATTTTAGGTTCAATCTGAACCCGACCCGAATACTGAGTTTGATACGTATGTTGCTAACAAATTAAGATGTTAGGTTGAAGTGTAAGGATATTTTATATTGAAAGAATATTAGTGATAGCTAATTAGCATTTTGAGATTAAAATAGCGAGATATCAATACTTGATGCTCTATTTTTAAAAGATGTGCTAATGAGTATATTTTAATATTTATTATCATTGGGCTTGTTGATTTTATATGTTAAAACTTAAAACAGACTTATTTATCATCATGCTTAAGGTTATTTACATCAAACTAATTGGATCAAACAAACTGATTACATTTATCAAAAAAACATGCATTGGCATGACCAAATGAATAAATATAAATCAAGTGAAAAGAAAATTATAAAGCTAAAAAAAATATTAAAATTGTATAATACATACCTTTTAAATACCATCACTGCCATATGTACTATCAAAATACTTACCTCAAGTTACTAGTCAATGGTACAAAATTGTAGTCTATCTCATAAGTCTTCATCATCACTATTCATTCTTGCCTTGAAGTTTGACACTTAAAATTTATCAAAAAAGAAAGAATTAAGAAGTCTCCATAAGATTATTTACAATAAGAAAATTTGCTAACTTCCGAGTATATGATATAAATACAACTTCATTGCAAGGAAAATGTAAGCATGGTAATAATTGAGAGAATAAAATGGTAAGATAGGATCGATTAATCTTCTAAACGAAATATACAATAAACTAGGCAACATGTTAAAGTTGCATTTCACCCAAGAAAAGCCGTAAAAAAAGGACTAAATCTATTACAAAATTCAACTTCCAGGGCACGTAATTCATTAGAAATCATCAGCATTATATCATATTATTAAAAACGTGCTTTTTACTATGCCAATAAAAGCCAAGAAATTCAAGGCATATTTTACACATGTAAACTATGTTAAAAAGGCCATCAATAACAAAATTTTGGTCCACTTTGTAAACAGTATCAAGGAATTACATATGATGAGGATATTCATACTTGTTAGTTGGCATTATGATATTCGATAAATGCTACATGAAAACTTCTAGTTTGCTCTCCAATAAATTCATTAATGGGTGTTGTTTTGATGTTGATTTCCTTAGGTTGTTCTGAGTTCATGATCAAACCAAGTTGATATAGGCCATAGGAATAAATGGACAATCAAGTTGAACTAGGGGTCAAGCAAAAGATCATGTCATATGTAAAAATTTATAACTTCAACAAAGCAATAAAAATTTTTACCATATTATTTTAAGTTGTGAAACTAAAATGGCAACAATCTTGAGAACCGATTTCGTGAGCAGGGAGAATCTTCCGCAGTGAGGTCCAATCTCGAGAACCGAGAGAGTCTTCCGCAACGAAAGCCGATCTCGTGAATGGGAAGAGGTCCGCGTCGAAGGCCAATCTCATAAGCGGGTTGATAGAGAGAGGGGAGAAGGGAGAAGGCAGAAGGGAGGAAGGAGAATGAAATGAATTAGGAAAGGGAGATAGATTTATAAATAAACAACTGGGAGGGGAGTCCAACAGACTGAAAAATTAATTAGGAAAGTTGAGATTCAGATATTTAAAATCAGAATAGTTCAAATAATTGATCACAACAACAGACAAAACTAAGGTTACTGTTATGCATAATTTAATTCAATTCCAAGTTAATTTTAAATCTAAAAAATATTTCTCTATTTAAAGGTATAATAAATGAATTGTATTTTTTATTTTAAAATATACTTCAATTTTTTTAAAGATAATAATATATTATACAAAATACTATTTAACATGTTTTATTTTAGGGATTTTTACATACATAAAACTTTAAACTATTCAAAATACACATTTAACATCTACATTATTATATTTACTAATATAGCACCTAAAACATTTATTTTTAATCTATTATAACACTCTGTTAAGTCCCGTTCCTGTCCGCATCGCGTCTTCCGTTTGTTCGCGCCAGGAATCGTCTTCCACATCGCCTTTTCCATTGATTTCGTCATGTTCGACCGTTTGGCACGTCTAGCATCTTTTTTGGTCAGCAAGGTATGCAACTCGACGTACGTACCAACTCATCTCATCTTCTCCGTCCAATTCCTTGACAGGGTGTTTGGGATTTTTTTTTGCCAGTTGATCTTGGAAAGGTCAACTAAATTTTGTAACAGCTAGTCGTCTTATTTTTCATTGTTGTTGTTCGACTAATCGTCTTCTCCATGTCAGATAGTGGGCTATTGTTTGCAGATCTTGTTCTCATGTCTTTGTTTATTATGATGTGTTTGGAAATTTAGAGATGAACGTAAGTTGTTTGCAAGGCAGCAGCTTTAGGTTGGATATGAATTGCTATTGAGTATTAGGCAGCAGTTTTGCAACAGATTAGTTTGAATCTAAAATGCTATTGAGTACTGTCATTGCCTCATATTCTAGTCTTTTTTACTAAACTAGTCTCTTCATTTCCTTCATGAAATATTGAATAACTTTGTAAAGTTAAGCACAAAGCAGAAAAATAGAAGTTATTATGATATCTACTAAATTGCAATTTTGCAGCAGCATACGCCATTTTGGAGCAGTTGCAGAACTAGTCTCTTCATTTTGGTTGTTGAATCAAAGTACACCGAAATATTGTAGATATCTGAAAGTATTCCACAAACTCTGCTAGCAATTCTACGAAGACAGAAGGGGTTTCTAACAGGGTGTTAACGGAGTGATATAATAGATTGAAAATTTAAGTTTTAGGTGATATATTAGTAAACTAGTAAATGCTTGAGACTAAACATTTAAAAATAATAATAAATCATATTATAAATATTTTAATTATTTTATCATTGTTAAGATGAAAAAAATTATTAAATTTATTATAATAAATAACTATAATCAGTAAAATTTATTAAAAAAAATATTTTTAATCTAATTGAGAAAAAAATAATCATTGTATTTGCTTTATGTCTCCATACAAAGTGGATATTTCTCAACTAGAAATTGTGATTTCATGATCTTCAATGATCTCATGGCGTAGCAACAATTTTTCAAATTTATTTATATATTCAGTAACAAATTTAGTGATTTGCTTTAATGAATTAATCTCATCAAGCAAAGAAACACATTTAGTTCTCTTTTAGAAGTTCTTTCATTTCAGTCCACAACCCATCCTTTCTTTCTCATTTTTTCCTTACTGATCCAATTTATTTTAGCTTGTCCATCCAATTTCAATTTTGCAAACATCACATTCTTCGAACATTATTTGTAAGTAAAATAAATTATTCATATTTGTTATCTAGTCAATAAAAACTTTAGAATTAATTTTACCATAAAAAATAGAAACATCAAATTTGATTTTTTTTTTCATTATCTATGCCTAATTTTATCATAAAAAAATAGAAACTTCAAATTTGATTTTTTTTTTCATCATCTATGCCAAATTTTGCCATCTAAGATTTTCATAAGCCTCATATTAAACATCATGCAATATCTATCTTGATTATTCCACTACTACCAATACTAACATTCAATTGAATCGCCTTATCTTCCTCCCCGCAAGGGAATCAACAACAGCTTCCTGGGCAAACAGAACAAGTTAGGGTGAAGCGGGAGACCATTCAAGTGTTGCCGCCTTCATTGCCTCCGCCGCCGCAATCCCCATTATGTCCTAACCCCAAATGATCGGAAGAGACTGTGAATTTGAATTGATCTAATCTTAATATTTATTTTGATTTTGTATTAAATGGAGCTGAATTTTAAAGCTAAACGCTAGATCAAATGCATGTGTTACAAAATCTATTATCGATATATCACGTGCATATCAAACATAATATAAGAATGGCTAGGAATTCAGTCACACATATAAATGTATCTTAAATAGATTACAAATGTTAAATATATGTAGTTCCATCACAGAGAATTGTTAGGAATTCAATCACAATGGAGACTTGCGTAACTATAAATGTAAATTAAACATAGTTTTGACATCATGGAGCTATTTTAATTGTGGTGCACATTACCTATGATGATAAATTATTATATTTATTGAAGGAACAGGAATTAATAAAATTTTAAGTGAATGAAGATATTATCACAAGGCAAACAGAGGGTATGGCATGGAATTGGTAACCATTGGTAACCATGATCTCTTGCTACGGCATGCAAGAAAGAAATCATAATTGAGATTTTTGTAATAAGATAGTAAAAGTTCAAATACCTCAATTGCTAGCCGTTGACTCCAAAGAAGAGCAGATCAGTCACCTCTGTTAATAGTTGAATGTGAACAAGAACAAAGCAGCAGGCTTGTAAATGGATTATCTGTGATGAAGTTGCATGGAATAGAAAAAAGTGTCAGTTCCATCATCACTCTGAAGAGATAAAAAAACAATTAAAAATCAGCAGTTGGTTAAAATTTATATAGTTAATTTATTTTATAAGGCCACAATGGAAACTTCATACAATACTTCAAAAGAAAATACTATTACAAAGATGTAATCGTCAATATTGTGTAGAATAGGCAATTGAAATTATGCTATCATAAGATAGTTAACAAAATGAGACCACAAGCATGTAGTTAAGGCTCATTCATGTTTCTTACATGTTGTCCAAATTACATATAATATAATAATATAATTAGTCAATGGATTCCATGCATGTGAAGGGCTTACTTACCAAACTGTATGGCAATATTTCTTCTGTTGGGGATAAGATTTTGTGGATTATGGGACTGCTTTCTACAAATGTGCTTCATATCTAACTATTTGCTGCTATTTAAGGAGAATCCGATTTGTCGTTGCTCTTTTTTTTAATGGTTTAGATTCATGCACCAAGTGGGTTAACCATGGAAAAAATGGATTTCTTGTTCATACAATAACCTAAGTATGATATTCTAATCCTGATTTGCAAACCAATTCCACTTTTGTTTATTCATTGTTTTAAATAATCTGTTAATTAACCTTACTGTGTCTATATTCATACTCATAAATCATTGTGAATTTTTTCATTATGCACTCCTGTTTATTATTATGCATAATTAATCACTACCTCTAACATGAAAAGAAGATAAGATTTTTTGCGGATGAATATTTTCAAGTTCAAGGATTTACATAAAAAAATAATTTTCAAAATCATAATATTATTAACTACTATGCATTACTTGAAGTTACATAACTGATGCAGATCATTCGAAAATAGCTCTGGGAAAAATCAATCTAGTGTCATATTTGTTGTTTGAAGTATGTTTCCACCTTATGCCTTGTATATTCATTAAATAAGCTTGATATTCCAATCAGTCTACTGATTTAAAGCCATTGAAATATCAACAGACGAATCCTTTACTCTCGCCAAAGTATGACCCAACTGATTAGAAAATCCTAAATCTCACTTATTTTCTTAAGTAAAAAATAACATCATAATATTGAATCAATCAACCCGTTTCAAACATCACATCAAACTCATACATGGGCAACCTGCCTCAAAATCTTGTGAGCAAAACCACATTTCAATTTAGCTGGATTGTCCCAAAAGCATTCGGACTATATTTAGAAGAGAGAAAAAGAGGAGAGAGTGAAGAACTCTTGTAGACCGAGGAACAGTACAGTCGAGAACTCAAACATGAAGTAAAGCAGGAAGAAGATGAACAGTGAAATGGATGATTTCATTAACTTAACTAATTTCATTACAATGGTATAAATAAGTGAAAGAGTTGCTTGGTGCAATTACATCATTGCCCCTTGACAGTTATAAAGTAGTCAGATGGCAGGAGAAGGTGGGCAACGGTTCTGATGTGCGCCGACGGGCTCTGCTCCAGCTCCAGCTTTAGCGAATGATTTGGGTGTAGTGGATGATGCAGTAACCATGTCACCCTCCCGCAAGCTGATGGTCGGTAGAACTAGAAGCTTGTTGCGTAAGTCGATAAGACGAGCGGATGATAAAGACTTAGTGAAGATGTCTGCTGGTTGATCGGCGGAGGAGATGTGACGAACTGTTATCTGATTGGATTGAACGCAGTCCCGAATGAAGTGGTGATCCACCTCAATATGCTTTGTGCGAGCATGAAAA